TGTGTGTGTGTGTGTGTGTGTGTGTGTGTGTGTGTGTGTGTGTGTGTGTGTGTGTGTGTGTGTGTGTGTGTCTGTGTCTGTGTCTGTGTGCGATTAACACGTCCACCTGTTTGCCTCGGCTGCACTTCGGCGGGCAAAGCTGTGTCCTCTAAGAGGACCAGCGCTCGCAAGAGCGCCGACCTGCGAAATTCCCACCACTCCCAATCACCAGTCTTTTCACAACAGGAACTTTCCACGAGGAAGCTGAGCATATAGTAAGCCCAATAAATTAATTATTATGAGACACAGCAAGGGAAAAAGGGGGGGAGGGGGGGGGAAGCACCGGTAATCAAGCCACCAGAAAACAATTCTGGGGCCTCGGCCCACTAGCAGCGTTGAGTTTCCTCAACGCCTGAATCTGGACACGTTTCTGGAAACTGAACGCGATTTCTCCACATCTCCGCGAAGACGTCCAGATTCGGGCGTTGAGGAAATGCAGTGCTGCTAGTCCGCGAAGACGTCCAGATTCGGGCGTTGAGGAAATGCAGCGCTGCTAGTCGGACAAGGCCCCTGGAACGGAACGCATGCCATCGTCTCAACAGTTCTGATTCTTCTGAACCAAAGTTAACCACGAGTTCGAATACGTCGATCCAGAGTTCAGAGAAGGGAAAAGCTGAAAAAAAAAAGGACTCGGGCAAACAAACCTTAGCATGCCACTTTCCAAAACAGGCAAACGTTTAAGTCAATCAGCAGTCAGTAGTAATCCGTCTTGGCAACATGGATGGATGTCAATCTATTGAAAATATGATGGCCAGACCAATGAGCCTAGCTCAGTTGGTAAACCCATGACCTGTTGAAATACAGACCTAAGTTCGAATCCCGGTGCAACCAGATCAACACAATAAGGGGGGGAGGGGGGGGGAGAGGAATTGATGGCCAGCCACTTGAGTTCAGTCTGTGGTCCTGATACCAAGTTATTACCAACAAGCCTAGCTCAGTTGGTACACCCATGAGCTGTTTTGAAACACGGACTTGTGTTCGGTTTCCAACAAAATCAGATCAGTAATAGCGCTGAATTTACGTGGGGCTGGTCAGTTTAAAAATGATATCCTGGGAGGCTACATATAGTTAGCAGAAGAAGCAATGGGGGTATTTCCCGGATGCCTTGGTTGTTGGGCCCCCATTCCCCGTGAACATGTGTACGTTGGGTTAAAAAACAGTCAAGTTGATATCAATGTCTAGATTCACCCCCCAACCCCCTTAAAATTCAAAATGCATTACTTGAAACAAGGATCAGAGGCTGGGGTCCTCTACATTACCCCTGGATCAACATTTACAGGAAGCATCATCCACCTTAGCTTACAGGCTGATAAGCCTGCAGGTGTTTTTTCTACAGACCCAAGCAGCTCTTGGCTGCAGTCACTACACTAGCCTATATTCTACTACTTTTTTTTTTCGCTAATCTTCTCTGTATCGTTCCAATTTTAACGGATGTCCCGAAGGACACCTATATTCTACTTCTACTTCTAGTCTATAGCCTATCTAGCCTCAACTAGTACTATCAATGTCAAGATTGCCCTCCTTACACCACTGAAGAGGATCTTTTGAACATTGGAACTCTCTTCGGGACACACTGACTGCAGATTCGGAATTAGACAAAGAAGATAGATCGATATACAAGTCTAACTGGTATGGCTAGTACTGCTTCATACAGGTCAGGCACCTGACAAAGGTGAAGAGGCCGACGGACGGCACAAGAGTGGGCTCAATGATTTTTTCAAAGGGACACTGGACCCGTTTTTCAGCATGTGCCGCTCCCCACAAATAGACTGGAACCTTCGGTAAGCAGGGACTATCAAGAGATACTAAAGTGTTCCGATCTCTCTCTCTCTCTCTCTCTCTCTCTCTCTCTCTCTCTCTCTCTCTCTCTCTCTCTCTCTCTCTCTCTCTCTC